TTTTTTTTTGTATATATATATATATATATACATAAACATATATATATGTATATATGTGCTCTGTGCACTTTGCTCTGCAAATCTCTTGTCTCCTCTTTCTTTTCTGTGGTTTGCATTTCTATCATTTCTAACTGGTGTGATTCAGTACGGCAGGAGAGGCTGGGGGAGTGCTTCAGCGGAAAGCACTCCGAGATGGAGGAGATCGTGCAGCTGTGTGCTGTATGCACGCCGGACGACGACTCCAAAGGTTCACTGCTAGGGTCGATTCTTTCCTTCATGGTGCAGAGGGCAGTGCGTGTGGCGCTCCCTCGGATGTCTGCCGTGGAAAAGGGCGTTCTGACGCTGCGTCTCATCTGCGCTGGCGGACTTCAGCATGACGAGTGCCGTCATTTTCTCTTTCGAGAGCTCTGCCCACCTTATAAATCCAGTGTCCTCTTGCGGTGTAGCCACGAGCTCTATCTGAAGCCCACAGAACAAATGGTGGCTCTCACTGACAATAACGCATGGGAAGTGGCGTCGCCGCGACTGAGCCGAAGATCCATGCCACTTTTGTCTCTCTTGCGGAGTGACCGCGGTACAGACAGGCTCCTCCAGCCGCCCGTGGACTTTCGCGGCGAGGATGCCAAAGATTTCTTCACTGAGATGCTTCTCTCATGGGATACGACAGGTGCGACGCCGGTTTCTCTTGGAGAACTGCCTCCGGGCCTTGCCACATATGTGGTGCTGCACTACCCTGCACGCACGCTTCGACTGCTGCGAAAAGTTGTTGTGGAGCCGTTCATACCGTCTACGTGGCGTGCTTTGTGGCGGCGGCTCATTGTTTCCGAGACGGATGCGCAGGACGTCGCAGCCGATACAATACATTCGGTGCTGACTCAAGTACCCTGTGCTGACTTTTGGCCGTCACTTTCACGTATGGTCGTGTATCCTCTCGCTGGTATGATGTATGATGGTGGCGAGGGGGAGAAGGAGGATGAAAATCAGACAGCACTCTTGGAGGGGTCTATGGTGTTTACGACGCACGCCATGTTCTCTCTGTGGCTCAATGAGTTGATGCAGGGGGATTATGGCGATGAAATGAAGTTCACTACTCAAAACATGGAAACGACGGATATAACTAGTTCCTCTTGGCGCCGTGCATTGGCACAGGGTCTGCACCTGTTGGAGAAGGACGTCGCCTACACATCTGATGGAGAGCAGCATCAGCATTACCAGAGGCATGCAGGTGCGGTCCGTGCAGCTTATGCGCTGCTATTTACGCTCTACCACAGCCACAGCATGGCCTCACACTACGTTCGCAGTGCTCTGGACCACCCAGAGATGACGCTTTTCGTGCCGTCCTTCGCCGATCTTAACGAGGAGGAAGGAGGCCGATGGGGCGGCACTGAGGCGAACTGCAGCACTTCGGCGTTTCTCACCGCGCTGGCGTTGCGGGTGCCGGCGGCGCAATTGTACATCGCTGAGCGGGCTTGGCGACTGATCGAGTCAAGGGTGGCACATGGTTCAGGGGATGCGAGGAGTGACAGACAGTTGGCTGAACTCGACGCACGCCTGCAGGTCTTGCTGAACAGCTTCACTTTCAGCAGCATCCCACTGGAGACAGCACATGGTGGAATGGCTGCGGCACCTCCTCAAGAGCCGCCAATGCGAGAGGAGGGACCACGCCTCACGCTGCGACTGAAGCGAACACGCCCCGATGAAGAAACTTCTCGGTCTCTGGATGGTGCTGGCAGTGGTGTGCACAACGAAAGCAAGAGTCGAACACGGGCACCTCCAACAGCCTCTCATGTGGCAGCTGCGGCGTCACGTTTGTGCAGTGCGTTGCTTGACTTCGCGGCAGAGGAGGTTTCGCAGCCGCTCACGACGTTGCACTCTTCTTCTCCACTCTCAACATTCGCCGCAACACCGGATTCTAGACCTTCCTTCAGCACAACGCGATTGATGCTAGTGACGCCGTCACACATGAAGGCCCTTCTTGGAATACTCTCCCCTTCTTCTTCTTCGCCGTGCTCGGAGGCGGTGCATGACGTATGCTGCGTCCTCATGTCAGTGCTGTTATACCGTCAGTGCGCTGTGCTGCAGCGTTGGTTTTCACATGAGACAAGTAATGATCTGAGGGCTGCTGTAGCAGGTCGGTTTTCATGGCGTGTGCGACGCTGGGTGCGCTTCTTCGCCCCTTTGGGTGTGTTCCGCTACGCTCCTGTGGCACATGTGCTTCTGCCTGAATGCCTGCGCATGATGAGTGGGGAGAGCAAGGACAGAGATGAAATTACGAGAGAAAAGGCGGATGCAAATGGACGAACATCGACATCATCAACATCAGCGGACATAGCTTTGGCGGAAATGTGTGATGTTGTGAGGGCCGCTTTTTGAGGATGGAGTAGTCGACAGTAAGTTGCTGCTGCTGTTTGTCATACAGTTAACCCCACCTTTCTCGGTGTCATTTTCCTTCATAGTAGAATAATTTCCTTTCTCTTTCACTTCCTCTAGGAGGGTCGTTTGCATCTTTTCTGTGTGTTTCAGCTAACCGGTTTCTTAAGAAGGGCTAAAAAGAGTTCACCATGTCCAGTGTAGAAGAACCACAGTCAATCATTCGCTCCTCAGAGATGAAGGCGCTTAGTGAGCCGCGCCGATTTGCTACTCTTGTAGCCGGCGCCTTTGGCTGCATCTGTGTATCCCTTTCATTCGGGTTCAACATCTTCAGTGATGATTTGCGGAAGGCATATGACCTCACCCAAGCGGACATGTCGACGATTAGCACCGTTGGCATTGTGTTTGCTTACTTTGGCATACCGTATGCATTTGTGTACGACTATTTTGGTGTTGTGCCTGTGTTGGTCTTAGGTTTTGTTCTGATCACTGTTGGTGCACTGCTCATGGCGCTGACGTTTAGCGGCACTATTACTGGTACAGTGACCCGTCTGTGCGTCTTCAACGGCATCTTCAACTTTGGCACCGGCGTGTACGACCTCGCGTGTGTCGTAACTGTTCTCAGCATCTTTCCAACACGTAAGGGTGTAGTAGTGGCGGTTATGAAGACGTACATTGGTCTGGGTTCTGCAATTTTTGGACAACTGCAGTTGGCATATTTCGAGGGCAAACCAACAAACTACTTCTACTTTCTGATGGCGGTCGGCGGTGCTATTGGCCTCGTTGTGTTGGCGGTGATGCGGCTTCCTCCGTATGTGCTGACGGACTATGAGCGACGACGCCTGACGGACGAAGAGGCGGACGAACGCATTTCGACAAAGGCCCTTTATCTTCAGCAAGATCCACCTTCCATGCGCTTCGCCATTGGATTTCTGATTGTCATTTTTCTTATCGCTTTCCTTCCGCTGCAAAGCTCGCTGGTGGCATATAAGAATCTATCGTGGGGATACCGGAATGGCTTCGCCATTGTTACGATTGTCGTGCTGTTGTTTTACTCTATTGTTGCAATGCCGTTCAGTTGGCTTGACAGGGACTGGCGATTCTGGCGTCGCCGCATACCGGTGGCAATGGACGCTGACGAACCGCATGAGCCTACCGCCAACCACCCCAGCGGCGCGGGTGCGCCACTGCTTGAGATGGATTTCGTCGCGCCGCAGTACCAGACAAGGTTCATAAAGAGTCTTTGCACTGCAAAGCTATGGGCTATATTCTGGTCGCTTTTCTGCACACTTGGCACAGAGTTTGTTGTGCTCACAAATTCCCGCTATTTTTTTGCGGCTCTTTCTGGGCAGGACGTCGACGATTCCCTCAATACACTCTTGACAGTGCTGAACGGCGTGGGTAGTGCACTAGGCCGTCTGCTAATGAGTGCGCTCGAGGTGTGGTCGCAGGAGCGCAAGGCGGAGGACCGAATCCCTATTACGCTATCGCTGTTCATACCAACAGTATCCGTGACGATAATGGTGATCCTCTTCCTCACCATCACAAGCCGAAATGTTCTGCCACTGCCATACGTGATTGGGGCGCTGGGCAATGGCATCATTGCAGCAGTGACAATCCTCGTGGTGAATACAATCTACGCGAAGGACCCCGGCCTGCACTACAATTTCTGCTTTTTTGCGACAACGTGCTCTTCTGTGCTCCTCAACCGTCTGCTGTACGGTGAGTGGTACACGCGGGAGGCAAATAAGCGGGGTGTAGAGGTTTGTTTGGACCGTGGTTGTGTACAGCTTCCATTGCTTGTGATGCTCGGATTCAACCTCTCGGCATTCTTCAGCAACGCGTACGTTCATTGGGAGTACCACAAGTTAAACCGTCGTGCGCTAGAGGAGCGACGCCGCCTCATCGAGGAGCGGTTGGTGGAGGGCGGTGCTGACGATTCCAGTAATTCCCTCCTCTTAGAGGAGCTGGAGAGCTACACAGGAAAAGTACAACATGTGGCATCAACGGAAGCCATCAATGATGTCACAGCATCACCAAAACAGCCGAATACAGGAGTCTCTTCTCGTGAAGGGATAACAAACAGTACAGATGAGGAAGCAGGCACCGAAAAAAAAAACGAACATCTGCTAGGGGAGATGTACCGCCTCAACCCGCAGTGATCAGTCGATGACGCCTCCCGTTGTTTCTGTAACTGATCCTCCTTCGGAAAGAGGGGGAAACGACACGCGGCGAGAAAAAAAAAACAGAAAACATTTCATGCAATGCGTGCTTCCACATATAGAAAGAGTGACCAAGTGTATTTCCAACAGCGTACGTAACTAATATTCACCCTTCACAGAATGATGCTATTGAATTTTTTTCCCTCAGCTCGGCTTTTGTCGGTTCCCAACTATGACTCATACAGAGCTGCTTGTGGCAGGCCGCTTTGTTGTCCCTTTTCTGCATATCTGGTGCGCTTTTATGGCTCACCGAGATGTGTTCGTTTTAGCTTCCTTCTCTTCACCTCGATGGAGATTCTTCCCTTTCTGCGTGGGCTCGAATCTTGCGGAAGGCCTTCCTCTGATGGTTTTCCATTCCACTGCTTTTTAAAAATGTTTTTCTATCTACTTTCAATTCCTTTTTTTTTTNACCAATGATTTCCATGCGAGCGAATGATGTACTGTTTCCGAGACAGAACCCATCAACAGTGACGAAAGAGAACTGCAATGAATGCGACAATGGGGAACAAGAGGCCAATGAAGGCCATACCACATCCCTCAATTCGTTCAATATCATGTTGTACGTGTATTTTACCTGCAAGCGTCCGACATCGTTGCTCGCTGCCCGAGAGTATCAAGTAGGTTTTGAGAAGACACATATGAATGTGGCATATGTGAGATACAGCCATGCCCAATTCTCTCCTCTTTTTTTCCATTTCCGTTCTTACTCAATCCGCGAACAAGAAAAGCCAAAAGTGAAAACAAAGTGGTGCACACAACATTCCTCCCCCCTCCCCCCCCACATACCCAGAGATTTGTAAAGAGAAGCACCATTCAACCAGAAATGACAGATAACTCGCTCGTGCACCGGCTCCCAACTGGGCCGCAGGCCCCCATCAGTGAACCCCGTCGTTTTGCCATCGTGACAATCGGCGCGTACGGCTGCATCTGTGCATCTTTCTCGTACGCATTCAATCTCATCTCGGAGGAGATGCGGAGCCGCTACAACCTCACTGGCCGTGACATCACAACTATCAGCACGGTGGGTTTGGTGTTTTGCTACTTTGTTCTGCCCTACGCCTTCATATACGACCACTTTGGACCCAGACCTATCTTCGCTTTATCAACTGTACTGTTGCCACTCGGTGCGCTGCTCCTGGCACTTGTTTTCGCGGGCATAGTTGAAGGTTCTGTTGTGCGACTCTCCGTCTTCAACGCTATTCTCAATGTGGGTTGCAATCTATTCGATCTGGGATGTATGGTGACAGTAATGAGTTACTTTCCATCACACAAGGGTGCCGTTGTGGCCATACTGAAGTCGTTTACCGGCCTCGGCGCTGCCATTGTTGGAAGCATTCAGCTTGCCTTCTTCGACGGTAAACCTGACCAGTACTTCTATTTCCTGATGGCACTGGTATTTGCTGTTGGTGCCGTATCCTTCTTTTTTCTGCGTCTTCCGTCGTACCATCTGACGGGCTACGAGCAAAACCACCTCAGCATCGAGGAGAAGGAGCGGAAGCTGGCGCGTAGGGCAGTGTATCTTCGCCAGAATCCACCCAGGATCCGCTTTGTGATTGGCATTGGGTTGGTTATACTGCTGATTATATTCCTGCCGCTGCAGAGTGCGCTGGTGGCGTACCTTGAGCTTGGAAAGAACTACAAAGTGGCCTTTGCCGGTGTCATCATTTTTCTGACGCTACTGTACCCGACGATTGCACTGCCCCTGTCGTTCATGGAGAACAAGGAGCAGAGACAATTCAATGAGCTTGAGGAGGCTGGAGGTGCCTCGGACAGAGACGCTGAGCAAAAAGAGCCTGTTGCGGAAGGCGACATTGTGAAGCTGGGAGAAGTGGTGGAGACAGACGTCGACTATATTGCACCACAGTACCAAGGCACATTCCTGCACAACTTGTTGACACTGCGGATGTGGGCTTTTCTTTGGTCCTTCTTCTGTGTTGTTGGCTCTGAGTTTGTCATCATACTTAATGCAAGGTTTCTGTTTGCTGCGCTCTCGGAATCCGAAGTGGACAGTTCACTGACGACGTTGTTGACGGTTATAAATGGTGTGGGCAGTGCTGTTGGCCGTCTGTTGATGAGCTACTTTGAGGTCTGGTCGCAAAAGCGCAAGGCGGAGGATAGAATCCCCATTACAATCTCTCTGTTCTTCCCAACAATTTCTGTCATCGTGTCGCTGGTGCTCTTCCTCGTGCTTCCAAAGGCTGCGCTGCCGCTTCCGTACGCGATTGCAGCTCTGGGCAATGGTTTCTGCGCTGCTGTTGTTGTGCTGGTAACTCGCACCATATTTGCGAAGGATCCTGCGAAGCACTACAACTTCTGCTTCCTCCCGACGATGGCGTCCACAATTTTGCTGAACCGTCTCTTGTATGGTGAGTGGTACACACGTGAGGCTGAGAAACGCGGTGTGCTGGTGTGCTACAGCAGAGGGTGTGTGATGATGCCACTGTTTTTGCTTCTTGGACTGGTGTGCACGGCTTTCTTGAGCAACGCTTACATCCACATCGAGTACCGTCGTTATTGTCAAAAAACGCTGGAGGAGAGGCGCCGTGTGAGGGAGGAGGGTGCGCTGCAGCAGGAGCCACTCAACAGCAACATGGTGGAGGAGATGCCAGTGTATGGGTTGACTCGGTGAGAGCAACCTCCGCGGCATACATGAAGTGAAGGCAGGTTTTCAAGAAAAGTGGAGCGCGGTTTCGTTGCTGAGGCGTGAAAATTGTGAGCACTTGCTTGTTGCCACCTGGAGGTATTTTGATGTGTGACGTTTGTGGAGATAAGGTCCTACTGTGCCTACGTAACGGATATAAAGATTTTTTTTTGCTTTTTTGGTTTAATGAATTAGTGCGGTTTCACGCAGCGTTGAGCCGATCTGACAGGGTAACCTTCAGTGATTCTCGACGTGATAGTTTTTCGTTTTTCACCCACCCCTGCCGACAGAACATCACGTGCCGTGTTCGTAGAAAGGCATGAGGAGTGCAGTAGTCAAGAATCTGATATATATTTCTGCGGCACAGCTCGTATAGATGTTGGCTACCCTTCTCGTTAATTTTGTTCTTTTTTCTTTTTTCTCTCCTTGGATTTTTTTTTTTGGTTTTTATGGACCCTTTCTTCGGTTTGAGAGGTATCTCTCACTTGCTGTTCTAAATTTCCCTCATGCATTGCAAGCGATACCTATACGCTGTGTTGTACTACGTTCACGTTACACCAAGCAAAAAGAAACGAAACAAAAATGTCTTGCAATTGATATTGCATTGAATCTGAAGAATACTTCTGGTGCGCACTCTTGGGGCTTTGTGAGGCTGTATGTGTTTCCGTTTCTTTCCGATCAGGTAGGTCATGCTAAGCGGCGGGAGTGCTGTTGATATTGTCAGTCAGCGGATGGAGGCAGCTATACGCTCCAGCGACGGAGTTGGTGAAGGCGACAACAGCTGCATTGTGCGTGTTCCACAACAGGACTTCTTAGTGGCGCTTGCCCGGCTCATTCAGGGGTCACTGAAGGCACGCTTCACTGAGGAGGAGAAAGAAATGCAGAAGCGCCTGGAGGAATTGAAGCTGCAGCGTGAGCGGGTATGTCACTTGCTAGACGACTTGCAGTTGGCTGATGCGTTTGTTTCGTTTAATGTCGGTGGGACGATCTTTGCTGCGACACGTCGTACTCTTTGCGCGGTACCTGAGAGCATGCTCGCGGTTCTTATGGGCGAGTGGCTACCAGTGGAGCGTGACGCATCTGGTGCCATCTTTCTTGACCGTTCACCGCATCTCTTCCGCGAGATACTGTCGTACTTGCGCCTGAAGGCCGACCATCAGAGGGAGCGAAGAGAGTGTGCCCGTGAGCTGGAGAAAGCGATGGATGAGGACATTGATGGTACCATCATGGCGCAGTTGGCGCAGACGAGTTGGCGCCATATGACCTCCAGACAACTGCACGCCGTGGCGGTTGAAGCAAACTACTATAACTTGAAGAGCCTCGAACACTACCTTGTGCTATACTGCCAGCGGCGGTGGATTGAATGTGGTTCTTTTGTTGCCTCGAGTGAGGGGAATGATAGTGGTGGTGGCGGTATTAATAGCCAATCGCTTTCAACGGGCGCTGAATTGTCAGATGATGCAGTGTTGTGCATCGCCTACGATGAGGAAAGTGGCGTGTGCGCTGTGGGCCGAGTGTCTGCTGTGGTGGCAGTGTACTTGCTCCCGTCGATGGCTCGGCTCGAGACTCTGTGTGGCCACACGGACAGTGTCACGGGGGTGGTGGTCACACCAAAGCGAATTTTTTCCTCCAGTCGTGATGGATTCATTCATGCTTGGCACAGCCGCGAGGGCTCCTTTGCCCCCATCTGTAGTTTTAAGGCTCATCAGAGTTTTGTTCATGATCTCCTTTTGCTGCGAGAGAAAGAAACACTCCTTTCAGGTGGCGAGGATCACGCAATAAGTGCTTGGAGCTTTCTGGAAGGATCTTCGCCAGTAATAACAGTATCCGTTGTGACCCCGGGCCCCGTGCGGTGTCTTGCAGCTTACCATGGGTACACTTTCGCTGCCTGTCGGGGTGAAATAGTGGTGCTAGATGTAGTGCGAGGGGAGCTTCTACCTCAACGAGGCAAGGCCCATTCCGCGCCCATACGTTCGTTGGCAGTCGACGAGCGCAGTGGGCTACTTGCGTCTGGTGGGTGGGACGGCGCATTGTACGTGTGGGACGCCAAGGAGGCGGTAACAAGCAATAAAAATAACGTGGAGAAGGCGGCGGAGAATAGTTTTGCACCTCTGTACGTGGTTGCACAGTGTGATAGTTTGGTGATGCATGTATCATTTGTAGGTGGTTTGCTAGCGGCCTCCTGCGGTTCTACAATGTACTTCTTTGAATGTGGCTTGATGCCGCGTGTTGTGCGCTGCATTAAAGGAAGTGGAGACAAGGGATGTATTGGGGACAACCAGGACGAGTTGGTTCGGGTTTTCCTGACCGTTGAACGTGTGAACTGCCTGCTTGTTGGTGGACTTGAAGGCACTTTTACTGCTCTCCACAACCGTATCTTTCCAGACGGAGTAGAGGTCGCGGAGAAAGGGTGCCAATGGGAGGGGAATTCTAGTTTTGCATTCATTTGATGATCGTCGTACCTTGAAGATACTTTTTTAGGGAGGCAAAAAAAACGAGTTTTTCTTCTCTCACTCACCCACCCACCCACACACACACACACACACACACACGCACTCTCTCTGTATGTGCGTTCGTGGGCATGTGTTGTATGACTCGAAAGTGCCGCTCACTCGGATTTTCTGCTTTTTTAAAATTATCATCACCTGGACGTAGAAGGAAAGGTAGGAGCAGTCCCACCAAAGCAAGGATGAACCCAAACACCCATGAGGTGAACAATGAAATATGTGTAGAGCGTCTGGCGACGTCAGCGGGACAGAAGCGGCTGAGTGAGCCCAAACGTTTTGGGCTTCTTGTGGCAGGGGCATTCGCCGCTATCTGCGCTTCGACATCGTACGCGTTCAATTTATTCAGCGGCTCTATGCAAAGCAAATATAACTTCACGCAGAGGGAAATGTCTTCGATCAACACAGTTGGCATGGTTTTCTGTTATTTCCTTCTTCCATATGCCGCCATCTATGATCACTTTGGTCCCCGACCTGTGTACGCCCTGGCGTGTGTGTTATTTCCGATCGGTGCTGTGCTCATGGGTCTGTCGTTTGGAGATGTGATCCAAGGGACTGCTGTACGCTTCTGCGTGTACAATGCCTTACTCAGCCTCGGTAGCCAGCTGTTCGACTTGGCGTCTATTGTGACATTGCTGAGTGTCTTTCCGACCAACCGAGGTGGGGTGGTAGCATTTTTAAAGACATTAATGGGACTTGGCTCTGCCATTGTCGGCGCTTTGTACTTTGGCTTTTTCAACGAGCATCCGGATTATTATTTCTACTTTTTGATAGGCCTCGTGCTCTGCGTCGGGACGGTGGTGATCATCTTTGTGCGTCTTCCGTCCTACCATCTGACAGGCTATGAGCAAAACCACCTCAGCATCGAGGAGAAGGAGCGGCGGATGGCGCGCAAGGCAGTCTACTTGCGACAGAAGGCACCTCTCTGGCGTTTCTTTTACGGTCTCGCAGTCATCATTGTGCTTATCATATTCCTGCCTCTCCAGAGTGCATTAGTTGCCTATCTACAGCTTGGTCGACCTTACCAGACCGCCTTTGCGGCTGTAACAGTCGTAATTACTCTCCTTCTTCCGTTAATGGCGGTCCCATGGGACTACATGGACCGCAGATGGGTGAAGCAGGAAGAGCAGTCACAAAGCAACGATGAGTGTGACATTGAGCATGATATGGACAGGGAAGCTGATGCAATACAACATGACAAAAGCCCTTTTGAATCTCCAAGAAAAGTGGAGTCAGTGGAGACAGATGTTGACTACATTGCGCCACAGTACCAGACGACTTTCTTGCAAAGTGTTTGCACACCCGGGTTGTGGGCCTTCTTCTGGACCTTCTTTTGTGGTGTTGGCTCAGAGTTCGTCATAATCTTCAATGCCCGTTTCATTCTTGGTGCCCTTTCTGAGAGCAGAGTCGATGATTCGATGGGGACATTGCTGACAATTATAAATGGTGTGGGCAGTGCTGTTGGCCGTCTGATGATGAGCTACTTTGAGATCTGGTCGCAAAAGCGCAAGGCGGAAGATAGAGTTCCCATTACTATTTCTTTGTTCGTGCCGACCGTGGCAATCATTGTGGCGCTGGTGCTCTTCCTCGTGCTTCCATCGAGTGTCGCATTGCTGGCGTTTGCCCTTGCGGCGATTGGCAATGGTTTCTGTGCCAGTGTCTCTATCCTTGTCGTGCGCACCATTTATGCGAAGGATCCTGCGAAGCACTACAACTTCGCCTTCAATGCTCTGTGGATTTCTGCATTGTTGCTGAACCGTCTGTTGTACGGCGAGTGGTACGCACATGAGGCAGAGAAGCAGGGTGGTGTGCTTTGCTTCGGCAAGAGCTGTGTACTGATGCCGATGGTTGTGATGATCGGTCTTAACGTGACTGGCTTCGTGGCGAACGTCTATCTGCACGTGATTTACTCCCGCTTCTCGCAGAAGGTCCTTGCGGAGCGTCGCCGTGTGAAGCAGCAGGAAGCGTTAGAGCCGTTTCCCGATCCCGGTGCTCAAATTTAGCTACAGCAGCAGCTGCACACGTCCTGCGGGCAACGCGCGGAGGTTGTGTAGTGGACAGCCTTGTGAGACGAACGGATGCTTGTCCATACCCGAAGTTTTTGTCCCCGCCACATATGAGACAATGCGAGTGTGAAAGTTTTATCTGTTTTCCTTTTTTTTTGTCATCTTTACTCTTCCCAAATCCTTTTTTTTTGATTTCCGTTACACTTAGGTTTTCATTTTGACTTTTGTTACTCACTCTTTGCTGGGGACTTGGTGTAGTCTGGACCCTGTTGTGGATTCTTGTATGCCCCCGTACCACTGGGAGACGTGGCTGGCGGCTCTCTCTCCTTCTCCCTCTTGTTGGNATATATATATATATACTTCCGGCGTCCCCCGTGCGCCTGCGTGTGTATGTGTGTGGGCGGCGCGTAGCCTCTCGTTCTGAACGGCGCCCCACCGCTGCATATGTTCACGAATGGTAGCACGGCTGCGCTGAAGCTTTTTTACTCCTTGCTGAGTTTTTTTTTCTTGTTGTGGGTTTGATGTATGTTTTCCTGTTTCATTACTATTGTTGTACACTTCCGTTTGTTAATTGTCCTTTTTTTCCCCTTTACGACATTTTCAGTTGCCGAAAGGCAAATAGGAAAAATCAAAGTGAAAACACGGCGTCGGACGCTTCTGTCCACACGTCTCTGTTTGCATTCGGTTTGAAAAAAAAGATGCTGCTCGAGTTGGTATGTTAGGAAGGAGCAAGCGAGGAACACATGAACGCTGACATTGTGTTGGGCTCTCTCTCTCTCTTTCTTGTGTCTGTCTGGGATGCGTGCATGCTGTCTGCCTTTCCTACTTTCCTCTGCCCCCACACATGTGAAGAGAGCTATAGTTTGTTATATCTACATCTGCGTACAAAGTATCGAGGTAAATGACGACGGAAGCGGACTTCTTTACGGCTGTGGCGACGAAGGACAAGGCGCTGTTGCTCCGCCTCATTGCTGAGAAGAAAAATGTTAACACGCGCGGGGAGCGCAACCGTACACCGCTGCTTATGTGTGTGTGGGATGACTACGCCGAGGGCGCGCGACTGCTGCTGGAGGCGGGCGCTGACGTCAACGCCCTGGATGATCTGCATGACACGCCGTTTCTCCTCTCCGGGGCGGAGGGGCGCGTGGAGATCATGCGGTATATCCTGAAGTACGGCAAGCCAGACTTCACGGTGCGCAACCGCTACGGTGGCTCCGCGCTCATCCCGGCGTGCGAGCGCGGCCACACGGAGATGGTGAAGCTGCTGATCGCCGCCGGTGTCGATGTTGACCACGTGAACGACCTTGGCTGGACGGGGTTGCTGGAGGTGTTGGAGCTTGGAGGCGACGACGCGGATCACGTGACGATCACGCGGGATCTGATCGCTGCGGGCGCCAACGTGAATCTAGCGGATAAAGAAGGGAGGACGCCGCTCTTCCTGGCGAAGAAGTACGGACTGAAGCGCGTCGCCAAACTCATCGAGGACGCCGGGGGACATATGTGAAACTCATCGGCATGTCATGGGGGCAGATGCCCCACAAAGATATTGTCATCATTCATTTATTTATTAACTCGCGTAGCTAACGCCACTCTTGTTTCAGGACGAAAATTTTGACTTCCTCCCACCATTCACCCGGTTGTGTGCGATACTTTTCCATTTTTGGCGGGGAATGGGAACGTATATATATATATATATATTATTTATATCAATAGTAGTGGCGTGAAGAGAAATTCAAGCAGAAAGCACATCTGTGCAATATTTATTTTGTTCTCTTTTTTTCCCATTTGTTTTTGTTGTCGCTCTTTCTGTGTTACTCAATAATTGTTCTCTCTGTGACAGTGCTGTGTGCTGTGCGCTGTTTGTGGTGCGTTGTGTAGTGTCACATGGGGTGCGTGCTCTTCGCTGTGTCCGCCTGCAGCGTTTCAGAGAGCCCCATACCTCTCCCTTCTCGTGCTGGTTTAAATGCTACTGCTGCTTCTGTTGCTGTTGGCGCCGTGTATCATCGGGGAGCGGGGACACAAGCACAAAGAGACAGAAAAAAAGGGCGATATATAAACTAGAAAGCGGACACTGCACTCATTTCCCCACCTTCCCGGCACGTCCCACGATGAGTGAGGTGCGCCCCAACATCTACAGCGACACGCCGCTGCGGAAGGCGGAGATGGGCCCACCGGGCATCGCCGTCGTGACAGGCGTGCTTGCCAGCATCGTTCTACTCCTTGTCGCGGTGTACCTCATTCACCACTGCTTCTGCAAGGAGGACAGGAAGGCGCCCGTCGACCAGCGGCAGCGTCGCCCTGACAGTTTCCACAACACGAGGGAACTGCAGGCGGTGCGCCTCGACGGCAGCGAGGATGATGACGACAACAGCAACAGTGCCACTGAGAGCAACGCTGTTGAGCTCAACTGTTGGCGACATACCTTCGACAGCCTCATGTGTGATGACCATAAGCGCACCCGCAACTCGGCGGCGCTGCATGCCATTCTGTGCGTGCCGCTCGACCTGCAGCTGTGCGACCCGCTTGAAAACGCCGACCTCGCCGCTGACGAGAACCGACTGATCCGGGCGCGGGAGCGACGCCGTGTGCTGAGTAGTGTGCTGCCCTTGCCCGGCGGCAGTGGCAGTGGCAGTTTGGCCGACGCAAACAACAATCTGGCGGCACGGTCCCACTCGTGGCACCGGGACCCGTACAGCGAGGGGGCGTGGCTGGCCGACCCGAGCCGTCAGCGCGGCTCGCACAGTCGGCTGTGCGTCGGTCCAACTTCCCACGTGCGACCGCCCGGGGAGCTGTCGGTTGACGCCGATGCTGTGATGGACGCGCTGCTGTCGAGCAACGATCATCGCGTGCCACGGGAATAACAGGACGACGCGAACTCTGGGTTAAAAAAAAACTTGATCAATGTTGACACTACAAAAATATCACCTTTTGCTTGACCATTTCTCTGGCTGCGCACCGATAGGGATGCCACCGTGCATTTCCTCCTCGTTCTTTGGATTTTGCATCGATTGGAATATATATATATGCTTGTGTGAGGCTGAAATCGACGACGTCTGGAGAGCACACTCCCACTCTCCGTGGACGCCAAAGAGCTTTTGTATTCCATCGTTTTTCTGTATTCTCATGACTTCACGCAGTAAACAGTGACAAGAAGTGACCGCACCCCATTGCCCGGCTCAATGTCGTACACCCCCACCGCTAGGGAACAAGCACCGGTCGGTGATCCCTTCAGCAGAAGTACCAGCGATGAACCGCTGGACACTGTGCATGTGGAGGCCCTTTCTCTCGACAGTCAGGCGAAGCCGCTCAGTGAGCCCCGTCGTTTCGCCTCCCTCACCGTGGGCGTCTTTAGCTGCATCTGCTGCTCCATAATCTTTTCATTCAACCTTTTTAGTCGTGACCTGCAGCGCAAGTACAACTTCTCGCAGAATGATGTCTCGTCCATAAATACTGTGGGGCTTGTTTTTTGTTACGTCGCCCTTCCCTACGGTGCGCTGTACGACTGGCTCGGGCCGCGTCCCGTCTACTTTCTCGCCTTCACACTGCTGCCTGTTGGTGCACTGTGCTTCTCACTTGTGTTCGCTGATGTTATTCCCGGTAACGTGGTCGTTTTGTGCGTATTCAACGCTCTGATGGGAGCCGGGGCTATGATGTTCGATCTCGGCGCGGCCATAACAGTTCTGAGTCTGTTTCCATCTAATCGTGGTGCCGTCGTGGCGGTGATGAAAACATTCACAGGCCTAGGCTCAGCGATTATCGGTTCAATCCAGCTGGGTTTTTTTGAGGGACGACCGGACAGGTACTTCCTATTCCTCATGTCCCTTACTCTGGTGGTGGGCGTTGCCTGCTTCTTTGTCGTGAAGCTGCCACCGTACCACTTAACAGGCTACGAGAAAAGCCACCTTACTGAGAAGGAGAAGAAGCGGCGTCTGAACACGCGCAGTCTGTATTTGACGCAGATCCCACCTAGGGCACGATTCATGTTCGGCATTGGGCTGGCTATCGTGCTGATGCTCTACCTTCCGATGCAGAGCGCCCTCGTGGCATACCTCGCCCTTGGGCGCGCCTACAAGGCCGCCTTCGCGGCTCTGGCGATTGTGCTGGTGATGCTGTATCCTCTCATGATCTTCCCACTGCGCACGAAGCAGCGGCGACTGACGGAGTCACTTGATAACCTCGTCGAGGGTTCACCCACCGAGATCGATGATGCTATGGTGACGACGGAAATCCCCCGCAAGGAGAGACCTGTCACCGATCGTAGTGGACAGGCGGTGCGGACGGATGTAGACTACATCGCACCACAGTACCAAACAACTTTCCTCCAGAGTCTATGCACGGTGCGTCTCTGGGCCATTTTCTGGGCAATCTTTACCATTTTCGGTTCAGAGCTGGTCTTCATATCAAACTCTGGTTTCATTCTTGGTGCGCTCTCGGGGGAGCCAGTCAGCCCTTCCCTCAACACACTGCTGACGGTTTTGAACGGTGTGGGAAGTGGCGTGGGGCGGTTATTGATGAGCGCCCTTGAGGTCTGGACACAAGGCAAGAAGCCGGAGGATCGCATCCCTATCACCGTCTCACTATTCTTTCCCACCACCTCCATCATTGTGGCTGTGGTGCTCTTTCTGACCCTCCCCGCTGCTGCGTTACCACTGCCGTACGTCATTGCTGCCATGGGAAACGGCTTTGGTGCTGCCATCATTGTTTTGGTATCACGCACCATTTTCGCAAAGGATTCCGCGAAGCACTATGATTTCTGCTACGTGGCTGTGATGCTGTCCGCTATCATTCTCAATCGCTTTGCATACGGCGAGTGGTACACGCGTGAGGCAGAGAAGCAAGGTAGTACGCTTTGTTACGGAAAGAATTGTGTGATGATGCCGATGCTTCTCTTTCTCGGTCTTAATGTCACAGCGTTCCTCTCGAACATCTACGTGCACCTCGACTACAGGCGTTTCTGTGCCAAGACACTCAGGGAGCGGCGCCGCATGCAGGCTGAGGCACAACTTGAACTGGAGGAGAAGTCGGACAGGGTGAGAGAAGCTATAACATGAACTGGCGTCGATAACGACAATAATAACACTGACGATGGCTGCGTTAATTCTTCTGCATCCTAAAATTTGGCCCACTGACACGAAGCCAATAGGGCTGCCTCACGCGTATTGCTCGACTCAGAGCAATTTCGAAAAAAAAAAAGAAGCCACTGTCTACCCAGGATCTCTTTTCCTTCGTTTGTGATTGATTTTAGCTTGTTGACTAGAGAGACCATGAGGCTTTTGTGTCTCGGGACTACTCTTTCCCTCTCATTTTTGGTTCGTTTTATAAGCTTGTGCTCTTTTTAGCGTAAATGGCGGTACATTCGCTATTTGTGTGGTTTCGCGTGCGTGCGGCGGGCTAAGGCGGGGCGCATGCACACGTTGCGGTGCCTTCTTCCCTCTTCCGCGCCAATAGCTTGGGGACACTTTGGAGGTGCACAGGTTTTAGCTTTTTGTTTTTTTTTGCTTCTTCCAACCGTGCCATTTTCCTCGTGCAAGTGTCAGTAGGTGCGTGCTCCGGCGTGAGTGTGCGTGTGGGTGAGCGTGCGCCAGTTTTGTTTCTTGCTGTTTTTCTTTGGGCGGGAGAAGGCGGCGCAATGGCCCTGCTCTCTCTGTGAGAAGCTGGCACGGCTGGCGACGACAGAAAGATTGCTGGTGGGGGAGAGCCCAACTGGATACACCAGTGGGTATCGTGGACATGACACTCCCTTTATTCATTCTTTCCGTTTACTTTCTTCTTCCTCTTCCTTCTCCTCCCCTTTTGATCTGTTTGTGAAAGGGTTCATTTCCAGCAACTAGAATTAGAGCCGGGTGCTGCGCTAAGGTGCCTCTTGCAGACGTAATTTCAATCGATTTCGTGTGCCCGCTTACGCCCATGTCCCTCGAGCCGTCGCTGAAAGGTCTCCTCCAGTCGAAGCTACAGTGGATTTTCGTAGGCGGCAAAGGTGGGGTTGGCAAAACGACGACGTCCTGCTCGTTGGCGACCCTCTTCGCCTCCACCCCTGTGCACGACGTGCAGACGAACACCACTCGCCCGCGGCGGGTACTGCTAATCTCCACCGACCCCGCGCACAATCTTAGTGATGCCTTCAACCAGAAGTTCGGCAAGATACCGACACCAGTGCACGGCATGGAGGCAACGCTTGCCGCGATGGAGATCGACCCCGCGAGCTTTACGCTCGGGGAGTTGGACAGTTTCCTTGGAGGTGATGCTGCTGGTGCTGGGCAGGCGGCGTGCGGCGACAACACCGCGTCACCCATCACGGCGCTGGGAAAGATTCTGAAGGAGGCGGCGGGTACGCTTCCCGGTATTGACGAGCTAACAGTTTTTGCGGAGATTCTCCGTGGTGTGCAGCAGCTTCCCTATGACGTTGTGATCTTTGACACTGCACCAACGGGACATACACTACGGCTCCTCGCCCTTCCGCATACGCTGAACTCCACAATGGACAAGTTGACAGCAGTCGAGGGCCTGGCGCCTTTGATTCAGACAGCAGCAGGGTTCTTGTCGTCTTCGGGCACTGTGGCAGACGTTTCAGGGATGAAATCCGCCTTCGCCCAGTGGCGCGAAAACGTGCAGGAGGTACAGCGGCAGTTCACAGACGCCGAAAAGACGGCCTTTCTCTGTGTCTGCATCCCCGAGTTTCTCAGCGTGTACGAGACGGAGCGTCTGGTGCAGGAGCTGATGAAGTATGACATAAGCTGTGACAGCATTGTTGTGAATCAACTGGTGCTGAAGCCCTCAAGCGAACCCCCGTGCCGGATGTGTGGGGCACGACAGAAGATCCAGGCGAAGTATTTGGCGCAGATCGACGCCCTGTATGAGGATTTCCATGTGGTTAAGATGCCGCTGCTGAGCGACGAGGTGCGTGGTATCATTGCTTTACAGAGATTTGCGCGGTTTTTGCTGGAGCCCTATGATGCCGACCGTCATGGCTATATTGAGGTGTGCGGCGAGGAAACCTCGTAAGAATGCATTAAAGGAAGAGAATATAATGTTTTGTTTTGATTTTCTATTGCCTTGCAGTGCTCTCCCAAAGGTGTATCCCATGCTCTCTGTGCTATGAGTGGACTTCACAAGAGACGACTTGGGTGTAGTGTGAGAGGGGGGGGGNGGGGGGGGGGGAGAGGGGGAACTAGAGTCTCGTTGGGGTTTAACGGGTGGAATTTGTTGATGTTTTTCTCCTTCGCATAACTTGTGCATGATGCTCTCGTAAAACCTTTTATCCCTCTTTATTGCTTTTCTTGTAATTGTAAGGGATCCGGTTGCTGTTCTGCGTTTTTTTTTGTCTTGTTGCCATGCAGGACCACCATCGCCCGCTGCCGTTGACGGCGTCGCTGCCCATCTGTGGCGCGGAGGACGGCAGGGGCATTGTTATGGTGCCGCCCGTCTCGCAGCCGTGCGAGGGGGCTGTGATTGGCGAAGACTACGTGCAGATGCTTCTCAACACAATACGCGAGCATGACGCGGAGAAGCTCTCGTTGCTGCAGCGCATCAATGACTGCATTAAGCCTGAACAGGCCGAGGTGCAGCGTCTTCGTCAGGAAATAACGCAGAAGGACCAGGAACTTGCGCAACTACGGCAGGATATATCTGAGAAGCGCCTGATGTTGCAGGAGGAACGAGAGCGTTCCAATCGTCTCCTCCACGAGAGCACCGTTCAGCACGCACAGGCGGAGGATGACCGCGCGAGAATTGCCTCACTCCTGCGACTGCGCCACCAATGGAAATCAGCAGCACCAACCGCACTATCACCGGACGCCACTGCTGTTAGTGGTGGATGGCATGCGCCGCACAGTGGTGACAAAAGTCATTCGCCACCAGTGGATACTACTGCCGCAGCCACAGGTAGGCGCGGCTCTAGCTCTCAGCGGCGACGTAGCGGCGGCGGAGGTGGTGGTACGATGAGTCTGCGCCAGGCTGTGCTGAACCAACAGTCAGCAGCATCATCATCAAAGGGAGATGCACTGCCCCCTGAGGCGGAGGCGGCGGTGCAGGAGGCGCTGCGGCCACCGCCGTCCTCCTCTCTTGTCACCGCTCTGAGTGAAGAAGTGCGTATGCTGCAGGAGCAGCTGGATGCGCAGCGTTCTACATATGAGCACGAGCGGGCGAAGCGACTGCACGAGGAGCGTGAGTGCACACGCCAGCACGCGGAAGAGGTGGAGCGGTATATCGCTACAATCGATCACCTCCACTCGCTACACCAGACAAGCCTCGCGGACCTCATCCGCAGCCGCCACGATATGCAGATTGAGCAGCGGCAGCTTCGCGGGATGATCGAGAAGCTGCGCGTCTCACTCGACGAGGCATTGACAGCGCTGGAGGAGGAGCGGCGGCGGCACTCCGCAGACCTGCAGCTAGTGCAGCAGCGCACGGACGACAGCGTGGACACAGTGATGAGGAGACTGCGACAAGAATTAGAAGAGCGGCGTGCGCTGGCGATGGCGGAGAAGGAGCAGCACGCTGCCCTTATTGCTACACGCGAGGCGGAGCTAGTGCGCCTGCGCGAGACGCTGAAAAAGGAAAGGCAGCGGCAACACCGCCTCGAGGAGCGCCACCGGCTGGAGATGGAGGGTGTCAACAGCGAGGTGAATCTGATGCGGCAGGCGCTACGGGCGATGGANACCGCCTCGAGGAGCGCCACCGGCTGGAGATGGAGGGTGTCAACAGCGAGGTGAATCTGATGCGGCAGGCGCTACGGGCGATGGAGAAGCGCGTGTATTACTCACAGAGCCGCGGTCTCTCGGTGTAGCAGCAGCAACAACAACAAGAACAACAAGAGTGTATCTAAACCCACCTGCATACGTGTGTGCATGTGCGTGTGTGTGCGTGCTATAGATAATGTGATCCAGAGAAGAAGAAGGGATGAGACGAGTGACATTGTTTTAGACCGAACGAATCATATCACTTGGCGGGAATGAGGTCCAGCAANCCAGAGAAGAAGAAGGGATGAGACGAGTGACATTGTTTTAGACCGAACGAATCATATCACTTGGCGGGAATGAGGTCCAGCAAGGACATTTCCTGCAGCTGCTGCTTTCTCTAGTGTATCCGGAACTCCCTCCACCAAGTGAGGGCATGCGGGTGACTATGCAAAGGCGCAAAAAGACAAGAAGAGGTTTCCTCCCTTTCCATTCTCTCATTTCTTTGTCTCCACATCGTGTATGTTTTTTTTTTTTTGGTTTCGGAATCCTTTTTCTTTCTTTGCACACAAGGTGAAGAGGATAGCAAGGGCAAGCGGGGCCTGCGGCGGCAGAAGCAGCAGAGAGAAAAGCCCCCGTGTCGCCCTGCGCTCCTGCACAACCGGGCGTTCTTTTCAGAGCGGACTAAAAAGCAAAAAGAAAGGCGTAAACAGCAGCCACCGGGATTCGCAGGTGCGGGTGACTGTGGGCGGAGCTGAGGGGCGCATTCGTCAGAGCTGAGGTGTGTGCCCGGGGGGGGGAGAGAGACAAAAAAGGGAGCAGCAACGTGCTAGGCAGCGAGAAAGCAAGGAGTGGAGAACAAGGGCAAGAGAAGAAGAAAAGGGGCGGAGTGGGCTTTTCACACACAAGCACACACACAAAAAAAGGACCAGAAATCGAGAGAGAGAGAGAGAGAGAGAGAGGCTAGCGGCAGCAGGTTCGGATACGAGAGGTGTTTGCTGAGCGTTTGTCGGAGCCGGAAGCAGGAGGCGAGTCGTGTCGCGCATATAGTCCGCAATGTCTGCGAAGGCGTCACGGCGGTGCAATCGGCTGATCGTTCTCTTCAGCTCCATCAACGATGTGACGGCGTGGCCCTTCTGGAAGTTCCTGCAGATGAAGAAGGTGAAGGGCGTGACGGACCTCTCGATTCTCGCCTTCAACAGCCAGGGCGGCAGCTTCGAAGCGCGCATCGACGGGCAGGAGTACACGCTGAAGAACTACGAGAGCGTCGCCGGTTACCGGCAGGACATGCTCGAGCGCTTTCTCCACCGCTGGTACGACCCGGGCCGTAGCTACTTCGTCTACGGTGGCCACGGCATGGGCGACTACCTTGAGCTTGAGAAGAACACAATGGGACTGCAGTGCCACGAGCTCGCGGCCATACTCGGGGACAAGAAGTTTGAGGCTATCGTGTTTGACGCCTGCTTCATGGCGAGTCTTGAGTGCGCGTACCACCTGCGCCACAATACGCGCTACATTGGTGGCTGCGAGGGGTATCTCTGGGAGCCCGACACGAGCCTCGACCACCACGTCTTCAACACGTACACCGCATCCGCGATGAGCCGCTTCCGTGACCCGAAGCACATCCTCCTCGCGGTGCAGCGTGACTACTGCAGTAAGTCACCACTCGCCGACTTCGCAGTGCTTGACACCACACACGTGGAGGCGCTGCGGAACTACGTGGAGGAGCACGTGGTGCAGCGCGTGTACGACCGCGCCACGTTCTACAACATCCAGCAGCAGCACAAACTGAGCAGCCTGGCAGAGGAGGCGCTGCAGACGACGCTGCAGAGCACAAACAGCGACATCAAGACGCCATTATCGTCACCGGATACAGTGGCATTCCGGGCTATGGCAACAAAAGTGCAAAATAAAAAACTAGCAAGGAAGCTGCAGCTGCAGCAGTCCGTTCAATTTGAGCACGCCTTGTACCCATCGGAGACGAGCGACAAGTACATCCTCGATCTCAAGTCGTACCTTACCGACATGGCCCGTGAGGAGGAGGAGGCCGCCGTCATGTCTGTGAGCAGCGCAGTCGCAGCAGCAGCAGCAGCAGCAACCGGCACCGCCGCACCACAGCTCCCACGCACCGCCGTTGTCGAGGCGCAGGGAAGCCTACCACCAGAGAAACGCCACCATCCGCGCTTTGCAAAAGGCAGCGCGCACGAGGGTCTCGAATTGTTCAACCGCGTCGTCATTAATCACACACCACCGGAGAACAAACACATTTATGCCTCGCACCTCGGTGGCCTGTCTTTTCCTGTGTACGAGTTTAGCACCATGTCAAAGCCCCTGCATCCGTGGAAGGGCGTCAACAAGGACAAATTTATGCAGAAGGCGAAGGAGTTCTTGCGTCGTGGCGCAGTGCAGGAGGTACAGATGAGGGATCGAAGCAACATCAGCAAAACCAAAAGCGACAATCTCACGCGTGAAACGGAAGCTGGTGTTTGTGCACCTTCATCGGTGTCTTCGGCATCATCCTCGGCGCCGCCGCTGCCAGCCGCGTACCTCCCACTCTTGTGCCACAATAGCAAAATCAACACCCCTACTGGTGGTGGAGTGCCAGAACCGAGACATTTCAAGATAAATCAATGATATGTTGCTGGTGATGCTTCTTTTTTTTTCTTGACGTTTGGTTTCTTTTGGCCTGATTCCCTTTCCTTTCCCGCCTAATAGGCGTCGGTGTACCTTCAAAACGTGTGATACCTTGCACACAAGTTCTTACTGAACACAGACACTCTTCGCTGAGCTACCGGGGCGTAGGAGGAGGAAGAGGAGGAGACAATCTCGACTTCTCAACTTGTTTGAGTTCTCCTGATTGAGTTCGTGTACTCCACACGCCGTGTACCACGGCCATAAGTGTGTTTGTGTGGGGGTGGGGCTACAGTTACACTTGAATGGCTTGGTTGCCCGTCGCCCACTTGGTGTACCCCAAGAGATTTATACGCATGCGTGTTTGCATGTAAGCTTCCTGACATATTCGTCACGCTCTCACCTGAATCGTTGAGGCAGCCTGTATTGGCTTTGTGTACTTTGAGGAGAGCGCCGCCCACAGAAATATAGATCTAAAACTCCCACTGTGATTTTTTTTTCTTACCCCCTTCTCGGTGTGGAGATGATGATTGTCGTGAGGTGGCAGGCATTTTTATGCCAAATATGTTTGTGTCATGTATCTGGCTCCTGTGTTTATTTTTCTCCCTCACTCCCCGAGTCCATCAGGTTTGTATTCTTTTTCACCCTTACCTGCCGGGACCGCTGCTTCTATTTCCGATGATGCAGTGGGTCACACGACTCGATATTTGTACATTGGATTGTAATATGTGTGATTGCGAGGGATGGGGGCGAGGCAAATCCGTACGACACAACTGGTACAATGTGCCAGATGTATTCTGCGCTCCGTCTCTTGCTCACGGCAAAACAAAACAAAACAAAATCAACAAGAAAGACAAGAAACAACGCTAAGCGAAGAGAAGACGGGATATTGTAGTTAACGGAATGAGGGGAGTCAAGTGACCATCAATGGCCTTTTAATCCCGTGATCAGCCACAAAGACAGAGCACATGATGGTGAATTGACGTACTCATGTGAACAAGGAAGAAAGATGCGAATTACATGATGAGCTTTTGAAGCCAAACTGTCTCCTCCTTCATTTCTTTTTGTTTTTGGAAAGTTGCTCTCATAGATGACGGGATCGGGAAGTGGAATGCCGTCGTTGAGCAACTTGACTTTTGCCGGGTACGACGAGGAAAAGGCGGTGGTTCTCCTTAAGGGTCCGCTGGGGGCGGTGTACCCCCTGCAGCCGGCCCACAAAGGTGCCAGGACAGCAGAGGTTGACGCAGATGGCGCCAACGATGATGAGGGAAGCTATGAGGAATCCACCTGTAGTGACAGCTACGTGAGCAGCGCAAGCTCCAGCAGTAGCGGAAGCAGTGTATCTGACGTGAATACGCCGCACACGAACGGTGCCGGGGTGGCGGGAGGTGGCGAAGAGTCAGACGCGCAACACTTGGCGCCCGTGCATGGTACGGTGCTCTCGTTGCAAGAGCCATACCGCCGAAAGAGTGATCCCTTGCCGTTTTACCCATTGATGGCCAGTGGCTCTGCCGATGAAGCAAAGAGCTACCATGCAGTGGTCGTATTGGGTTATGACGAGCGCGGTAACGTGTTTCTGCTCCCCACACCAAGGATAGTCTGGGGCGACACCGTGTGCGCTTATCAATGCTCGCCGATACTGCAGCTTTCTATGCATGATTTGCATCAGTATTATCAGTTGCAGGAACACGCAGAGAATGAGGCAAGGGAAGACACATCGTCGTGGGAGCTCCCGTTGGAGGGCGGCTGCATGATGTGCCCTCGCTTGGAACAGGCGCCGCTAAGCGATATCTTCGGTGTCTCTGTCGGCAAGGCGTACTACTTGTCTGCGTGGTCTGTATACGTAGAGTTTGTGGGTGCCGCATGGGGAGTGCCGTGGGTGAGGCTTCTGCCCACTGGGGTTGCAGGCAACGGTTTCCATTCAGCCTCGAAGAGGGGTGGTCAGACTGTTAGAATCAAGCCATTACCATACTGCTACGGTGAACGTCCACTGTGTGAGGTCTATATGCTCTGCGAAGACAAAGATGATGCAGAGGGGCGAAACGTTCACAATACACCCATGTCTCAATGTGTGGATGTGACCACTGGGGCGGAGAGCTGGAGTCACATACGAGAGCAAGCCCAACAGGAGGGTGGCAGTGCCGCCAATATTGAATCCACTCGTGGCTCCTTTACCCATCACAGGTCTTTTACTCCACGTGGAACGCGCTATGCGGCTCACTTCAACACGACAGATAGTAGTGTATCTGCTCCGCTGCCGTTCTTCGTTCGCGGCAGCAAAGTGGCGTGCTGCGGACCATTTGGTTCCACCCTGGAATGCGATGTGTCGCCCAAGACGCTTGAGCGGTTCGGCGTGTTGCATGGTGACCGTTTGGTTGGCGCTGCCAGTAGGTCGTTTGAGGGGCGAAAGACTACAGTGATTGGCGTTCATATGGGCTGCCTTGTTGTGCTACTGGATGGGGACCGCGTGGCAACGATCTTGCGCGGTGTCGAAGGGATGGACGACTTGCTAGTACAGTTTTCCAAAGAGACTGACCCTCAGTGTGACCGAGATGTAGGCAGAGGAAGTTCTACATCAGAGGAAAATCAGGTAATTCCCTCGCCATCTATGGACGTCCAAGAAGAAGACAATGGAGTCAGGAAAGAGGCCCATAGTGATGATAATGAAGGAGATGAGAAGGAAAGAGATCCTGTTGTTGGCCTCCCACCGATAGTGGAAGCTAGCACGGTAACCGCAGAGAGGGACATCAGTGAAAGCAAACACACTACTTCTATAAACACGGATCCCTTGGATCGAGGAAATGAACTGCATGGGACCATTGAGGCGAAGGTGCCGCTGAAGGAAGACGCCGATGAGTGTGGTGCGGCGTCGCAGTGTGATGCTGGTGACTCAAATGAACAGCCGGTTTTCATGGGTGATGATCCATCGCCGCTGGCTTTCGTGCAGAGGTTTGACACTTCTTCTATAGATTTGACAGACTCCTCGATTAGAGAGGTTTGGGCGACGGAGGATGAGAAGGCTCCCTCTCAGGCCATGGGCTCTGGGGACGGGGGGGTGGAAGAGGAGAGAGATGAAGAAGAGATGGATGAAGAGGAGAGAGATGAAGAGGAGAGGGATGAAGAAAAGATGGATGAAGAAGGGATGGGTGAAGAGGAGAGGGATGAAGAGGAGAGGGATGAAGAAGAGATGGATGAAGAGGAGAGAAATGAAGAAGAGATGGATGAAGAAGAGATGGGTGAAGAAGGGATGGGTGAAGAGGAGAGGGATGAAGAGGAGAGGGATGAAGAAGAGAGGGATGAAGAAGAGAGGGATGAAGAGNAGATGGATGAAGAAGGGATGGGTGAAGAGGAGAGGGATGAAGAGGAGAGGGATGAAGAAGAGATGGATGAAGAGGAGAGAAATGAAGAAGAGATGGATGAAGAGGAGAGAGATGAAGAAAAGATGGATGAAGAAGAGATGGATGAAGAGGAGAGAAATGAAGAAAAGATGGATGAAGAAGAGATGGATGAAGAAAAGATGGGTGAAGAAGGGATGGGTGAAGAGGAGAGGGATGAAGAGGAGAGGGATGAAGAAGAGAGGGATGAAGAAGAGATGGATGAAGAAAAGNTGGGTGAAGAAGGGATGGGTGAAGAGGAGAGGGATGAAGAGGAGAGGGATGAAGAAGAGAGGGATGAAGAAGAGAGGGATGAAGAGGAGAGAAATGAAGAAGAGCTGGATGAAGAAAAGATGGGTGAAGAGGAGATGGATGAAGAAGAGATGGATGAAGAAGAGATGGATGAAGAAGAGATGGATGAAGAGGAGAGGGATGAAGAAGAGATGGATGAAGAGGAGATAAATGAAGAGGACGGAGGGAATGGAAGTGCCCAACCAACATCAGAAGCTAGACTGACAGAAGTTGGGGGTCTCTGCAGCGATGGCCAATTGGAAGGAGGTGAAGCAGAGGCCGTTGCGACAGAAGTGACGAATTCACTGTTTTTTACAACCTTTTTAAAGGCGCTGGCGTACTGGAAAATGCAGTTGCTCACTGACGAAGAGCAGAGGCAGCAGCCCCTTGCGTTCATCGAATACTATGGGACGGACACTCAGCGGCGCATGCTTGGGGCTGTTGATCTCCTTCACAAATACCGCTCCTTCTTTGACGCCCCCGCGCAAGGCTCTTCACACCTCCTCACCTGGAATTATGACGGGGTAGCACCTCCTACTGTGCAGCAGATTGTCCACTTGCTTGTTGAAATGGAGGCCGTCCAAGGGCCGTGAGTTTGCAGTTCTGCCGAAGGAGCTGCGGAACTGTTATTATTCAACCCGAATGAAGCAACCAAGCCGAGAGAAGAAGAAGGGTAGGGCTCTTGTATGAAAGAGTTGTAATAGGTCGGGCCGCAATGGGTAGTTTTCGCTTGATGCTTCTGAACTTTATTTTCTTTTTCTCTAAGGTGGAAAGGGAGGGTACAGGTCTATCGCCTCTGCCGCGTCGCACACTGGAGGGAGCAATACAAAGAAAACATCCAAAGAGAGGAGAGGTAAGCAACAGCAAAGGAAGCAAAAAGGACCAGCAAAGAAACCATGTCTGTAGCGAAGGCGGAGCCGCAACGAGAGTTGCTGCCGCATCCGGCGCCCAACATGCTGGACCTCTTCATGACACGGTACGATTACGACTACAACCGTGAATTTGTTGGAACTGGCTCCGGTGACGGGGCGCAAGACGAGGAAAGCGTGAGCGGCGACGTGCGGAACCGGCCCATCTTTCGCTTTGGCCAGCCGCTAGATGGGAGCTACGACACGACGTACCTCACTGACTACGTGCAACACGACAGGGGCGTCAAGGATATTTCTGGGCTTATGCAGACGGCGTGCGGGGAGCATGACGTGGCCTCTGCCTTTGTGAAGGATTACTATCGCCCGAACTTATCAAAACACCTCACGGAGGATGGTGCTCACCCAATCACAACCTACAAGAAGGACTACACCCACAGCGGGCCTGTGCCGAAAGGGGAGCCGCAACTGTACGCGGGCGCTCGTGCCGCAGCATTCGATCCTGACTTTCTGCTCATTCCCACCACTGAGGAGGATCTGAGGGCGGAGGCGGAGCTCGTGCCAAAAATCACATCAAAGGATTCGCTGCTGCCGCGGATTAAGTCAGCGGCTGATGGCAGCGAAGTGCGCGACGAGGGTTTGCTCGCGTCGCGCCGGCCGCAGCTGACGGCTGGTGGGCTCCCAACAGACTACTACTGCACGTCATGGGTATACGGTGACAAGAGTCTCGCGTACCCGAACCAGCTGCCCCACGGCGTTGAGGAATCACCGAACGCACACCTCATAGCGACGATGGATGATAAGGCGGCGCTGCTTGCCCTCCTTGCAGGGAAGAGGAAAGCGGCCGGCAAGCCCTATCCGTTGCATGATGATACAAACCCCATCCCTATCCAGAAGACGGAGCAGCCCTACTGCGCCGTCACGCGGCGCATCGAGAATGAGGGTCACGTCAAGATGAGTATGTACAAGAGCGACTATATTCACCAGGGAGTTCTGCCAGAGTTGCCTGACGCGGTTGCGCTGGCAGGTCGCGATGAAGGATCCATGGGCGAACAGCGGCTCGCGTGTGCAGGAGAGATGCTTGCTGGTACCCTCACGCGTCGCACAAGGAAGCTTCAATCCATTCGAAACTCCCATGGAAACCTGCTAAAGCAAAAACCAGATGTGACGATTGTAGACCCACATATATGGAAGCAGATGAGGTCCTTGGAGAAACGTATTGCTGTAGACAGGGCTGATCCGCATCGTCACAAATTACATTGAAGTGCACTGAGAAAAGGCATCTGAAGCCAAGGGTGGAAGCAGAACGCAGATACAAATACACGTACAAACATAAAGGGCTAATCCAGCCAGGTGTATGTGTGTTTTCTGTTTGATGTAAAGGGGCAGTGTGGCATGTACTGTATAGGAGACTACCATTGTTTCTTGTGTGGACGTCTGCATATGACGTTTGCGCACGTGTATGAGAAATGTGTAGGGGCGATGCGTCTTACTGAAGTTGTGAGAAAAAAAAGATATGCAGGTACTCGAGCTGTTTCTGACAGCTCAATGTAACATCATGTCTTGCGCGATAAGAATCGAGCAATATTCTTGACATTCAGAATGCTGTTCTGTATTGCCCTTTGAGTTGGTTTCTTTCACGTGTTTTTTGTTGTTGGTTTTGCTTCGTACGGTATTTTCCATTTAGGTTCCCTTTGGTTGTGAGGACAGTTACAATCATTCTACAGCGTGCACATCCACGTGGGCGTAGGCTTGAATACGAAATGGCCGCTTTTGCCGAGCGCATACGAAAGGCGGCGGATTTTGTGAATCGTGCCCGTGACGAAGAGACCCCGGACGGCAACCCTCTAGTGGCAGCACGCCACTATATCACCGCGATGGAGATCATCGCCAGTGTTGGTGACGAGGTTCCCATTAAGGACGCAAACAGCCGGCGTTTTTTCTTGTATCAGCTCCGGCAGCGGATGGAGATGTATTACGAGCGCGCCCAGTTGCTTCTTGGCGTGGCGGAAGAGGCCGGCACGCCCGATAAACCAACGAAGGAGGGCGGCCTGCAAGCAGCTCTAAAGGGACTCAGTGGCAGCGGCGGTGGAAGCGATGGTTGTGGTGCTGCTGCACATACAACTAATGCCCCGCCTCTCTTGTACGCTGGTAATGAGGGTGGTGGTGGTGGTGGTGGTGAACATCGCCTTACGTCTACGGCGGATACGTCGGGGGGCACTGTGCTGGGTATTCCACTTGGTCAGAGTATTCAGCCTGCTGATGAAACCCACGACCAGCCGCCTGTGGGGTTTTACTTCTCGCAGCCGCCGTCAGTGCCGGCGCCGCCTGACCACTCACTCGATACGCTTCTAGACAGATTGACTTTGGGTGACGAGAAGAAGTGACGTGAGTATGAGGAAATGGTGGGAATATGATGCGCCTCTCGAATGCACTGGCATCACTCATTGTGACATATGCTTGTAGGACATTTGCATATTTATATGCCAAGATTCCTCTTTATATCAGCCTGTGCTGGTTGAAATGCATTTGGTGATCCGCCCCGTTGCCCAGTACTCGTCTACGAATCGTGTGTCTGTATGCGCTTCTTTTTTCCTTGTTTGCCTTGAAAAACAAGGGTTTTTTAAATTCACGCTTCTCACAATGGCGACCATCGGAACTTTCAACGAGGAGGGCGTTAACGTGGATCTCTACATCCCGCGCAAGTGCCATGCGACGAACCACCTTATCACGTCGTTTGACCACTCTGCTGTGCAGATTTCCATCGCGAACGTTGACGCCAACGGTGTGATTGATGGCACCACGACGACCCTCTGCATTGCTGGGTACCTGCGCGGTCAGGGTGAGTCCGACCATGCGATCAACCACCTTGCCATTTCGAAGGGCATGATCCGCATCAAGACCGGCAAGAAGCCCCGCGCGAAGAAGGTCAAGACCGTGAAGGGCGCCGCTGGACGCGGTGCGGCGAAGGCTGCCCCGCAGCAGAAGGGTGCGCGTGCCGCCCCTGGCCAGAAGGGCGCCG